GAGAGAGAGACAGAGAGAGAGAGACAGAGAGAGAGAGACAGAGAGAGAGACAGAGAGACAGAGAGAGAGAGAAAGAGGGAGAGAGAGAGAGAGAATGACATCATCCTCTAAACAAAGCTGGATTGTAATCCGGTCTCAGAGGTACTGCTGTCACCAGAACCGGGCCCATGAACCCGCACAGATAAAAACTCATGCTGCTGGTTCTGGTTCCTGAGACCAAAGATCCAGAACCTGGTCAGACCTGAGTCTGACTGCAGCTTGATATGATGTTACACACAGTCCTGAGTCCAAAATCCTGGGTCCTGAGTCTGACTCAGAACCATAATCAGACCTTTTAATGAGAGAGAGAGAGAGGAGCTCCACACTGAGCCTCTACAGGTCAGGTAGTGAAGTGGTGCTGTACCTTGAGCTGGACCAGGTGGACGTCCACATGTCTGCTGTCCACATCTTGTCCCACAGAGTGGCTCAGCTGAGCGACACGCTCGCTSGTCGCCCTCAGCCACGTCTCAATCTCCGGCAGATGAAGGACCACCTTCCAGTCTGCTCCAGTGTGGAGAGGAGGAGGTTTCTGGGTCCTGAAAGCAAAACGTGCATCATGTAAGGACAGAACAACCAGAACCTGGTTCTGGTCAGAACCTGGTCACCTGGATCGGTTCAGAAGCATAGAACCAGAGGATGAGGAGCCGTGAAGAAGGACAAACTGTCCATCACAAAACTCCCCAATAAATCCAGGAAGAACCAAGAATAAATACTTTATTTACTTTATTCTTTATTACTTTTACAAATAATGAGTTCACCTGTGCAGGTAAATATCTGTTTCTCTCTGAGCTTTAACTCTAGTGTTCTGGAGTTTGGGTCAGTTCGTACCCAAACATCAGACATCTGGAAGAGGCTAGTAGTTACAGGTCTCTCATCCTCGGCTCTGATTGGCTGAATGAAACAAAGGGTTAAAATCAGTTAATCTTTACCTGCGAGAAAAGTCCATGTTAGCTCCTCCCMCTGTGAGACAGCCCCGGCTGGGACCAGGACCTGAGGTGGCTCCGCMCTGGGACTGATCCACGATGGTAGGAGCCAGACCAGACCTGGAGCAGTCTGAGTCCAGAGTGGGAGAGACCGGAGTCATCGACATGAAGACAGGGGAGGGGAGCTCTGGGCTCAGGGGCGAGAGAGCTGCGATGCTCATGGTGAGAGAGAGAGAGGTTGAAGGTTCACGATGAGGGTGAACGGGTCCAAACGAAGAAAACTAAAGAGAAACGAGAAGAAGAAGAAGTCAAGAAAAAAACAACTAGATTTTAAAGAAAAACCTCATGGAGGAGGTTTATCATCAAAAACTGTTTCATCAACATTTGTTCCAACCAGGCTCTGTCAAGTCTTCATCAACATCTGAGGTGAATTAAGTCACCATTAAACACATTTCCTCTGAAACTAAAACTCAGGCAGCAGATTCAATAATACCAGACCAAAAAACAAGAACCAGTCGTTTCACTGCAGCTACTAAAAAACATCCAAAATTTTACATCTACAAAATATTTACGGATTTATTTAAAGAAATCTTTCCTTCAGAGGCTTGAACCTTATGAAGTTCCGCCCTGAAGGATTGGCTCGTCTCAAACAAAGATCACATTTCTACCTGAGTCATCAGTTTTAGCTGCTTTCAGTTTCCTATAGAACAGAAAATGATTTGTATTTTACCCCTCCTTTACAGACCRTAGAAACCAGGTCCAGGTCTATCAGTCTTGTTTCTACAGCCTGTCCAGGTCTATCGGTCTGGTTTCTAGGTCTATCCAGGTCTATTGGTTTGGTTTCAATGGTTTAGTTTCTGTGGTCTACCCAGGGCTATTTTTCTGGTTTCTATGGCCTATCTGGGTCTATCAGACTGGTTTCTACGGTCTAGCGGTCTGGTTTTTACAGCGTATCTAGGTCTGTCGGTCTGGTCTTTATGACCTATCCAGGTCTATGGGTCTGGTTTCTACAGTCTATCCAGGTCTATGGGTCTGATCTTTACAGTCTCTCCAGGTCTATTGTTCTGGTGGTTTCTAAGGTCTATCTACATCTATTTGTCTGCTTTCTATGGCTTATCCGGGTGTATCGGTCTGGTTTCAACCTTTTGTTTTTGCGTTCCACCGAAGTCTACCATTCTGGTTTCTATGGCCTATCAGTTTGGTCTCTACGGTTTATCCAGGTCWGTTGGTCTGGTTTCGAAGTCTATCGGACTGGTTTCTATGGTCTATCAGTCTGGTTTTTACTGTCTATTCAGATCTATTGATCTGGTCTCTACAATCTATCCATGTCTATCGGTCTGGTCTTTATGGTCTATCCAGGTCTATCAGTCTGGTTTCTATGGTCTTTCCAGGTTTATCTATCTGGTTTCTATGGTCTATCCAGGTCTATGGGGTCTGGCTTTTACGGTCTATCCGGGTCTATTGTTCTGGTTTCTAAGTCTATCCACGTCTATCTGTCTGGTTTCTACAGCTTATCCAGGTCTATCGGTCTGGTTTTTACAGTCAATCCAGGTCTATTGTTTTGGTTTCTACAGTCTATCCAGGTCTATTGTTTTGGTTTCTACAACTTATCCAGGTCTATCGGTCTGGTCTTTACAGTCTATCCAGGTCTATTGTTTTGGTTTCTACAGCTTCTCCAGGTCTATCGGTCTGGTCTTTACAGTCTATCCAGGTCTATTGTTTTGGTTTCTACAGTCTATCCAGGTCTATTGGTGTGTTTTTATGGTCTATAAGTCTGGTTTCTATTGTCTATCAGTCTGGTTTCTATGGTCTATCGCAGAGGTGCCCAAACTTATTCCTTCAGAGGGCCAAAAT